ATGGTGACCTTAGGCTTGTGTGCGGCTGCTCGGGCATGGAAACCCATTTCATGAAGCTCCCGACGAACAGTTCTTGTGCTGATGTTGCTTCCAGAGGCAGTTTGGAACTCGGTCGTGAGTGTTGAAACCGAGGACAGACGATCTTTACGCTCTTCAGCACTCGGCGATCCCGTTCTGTGAGCTTGTGTGGCTTACCACTTCGTGGTAAAGGTCCCGTGTAGCTCAGCTGGTAGAGCATGGCGCTTGCAACGCCAGGGTTGTGAGTTCGTTTCCCACGGGGGGGCCAGTATGAAAAATGTATGCACTCACTAACTGTAAGTCGCTCTGGATAAGAGCGTCTGCTAAATGACTAAAATGTAAATGTGGTTGAGCCGTTGTTGCTCCTAGACGTTTACACTTCACAATAACAGCACTTACAGTTGACCAGGGCAGAAATTTGATGAACTGACTTGTTGGAAAGGTGGCATCCTATGACGGTGCCACATTGAAAATCACTTAGGTCTTCAGTAAGGCCATTCTACTGCCAATGTTATACAATTTTATACACCTGAAATATCCGAAAGCACTAATTTGAAGGGGTGTCCACATACTTTTGTATATATAGTGTATATATGTAGACATTTAAGGAGTTACATACATGTAAAAAAAAATATATATATATATACAGTATCAGTCAAATGTATGGACACACCTACTCATTCCAGGGTTTGTCTTTATTTTTACTATTTTCTTACATTGTAGAATAATAGTGAAGGCATCAAAACTATGAAATAACACATATGGAATCATGTAGTAACCAAAAAAGTGTTAACAAATCAAAATATATTTTATATTTTAGATTCTTCAAATAGCCACCCTTTGCCTTGATGACAGCTTTGCACACTCTTGGCATTCTCTCAACCAGCTTCACCTGGAATGCTTTTCTTGGCATTACACACAGGGGGCACATATAGTATATACACAGGGGGCACATATAGTATATACACAGGGGGCACATATAGTAATAGTACACACGGGACACTATTAATACACAGGGGGCACATATAGTATATACACAGGGGGCACATATAGTATATACACAGGGGGCACATATAGTATATACACAGGGGGCACATATAGTATATACACAGGGGGCACATATAGTATATACACAGGGGGCACATATAGTATATACACAGGGGGGCACATACAGTATATACACAGGGGGCACATAATAGTATATACACAGGGGGGACATATAGTATACACAGGGGGCACATATAGTATATACACAGGGGGCACATATAGTATATACACAGGGGGCACATACAGTATATACACAGGGGGCACATATAGTATATACACAGGGGACACATATAGTATATACACAGGGGACACATATAGTATATACATAGGGGGTACATATAGTATATACACAGGGGGCACATATAGTATATACACAGGGGGCACATATAGTATATACACAGGGGGTACATATAGTATATACACAGGGGGCACATATAGTATATACACAGGGGACACATACAGTATATACACAGGGGACACATATAGTATATACACAGGGGACACATATAGTATATACACAGGGGCACATATAGTAATACACAGGGACACATATAGTATATACACAGGGGGCACATATAGTATATACACAGGGGACACATATAGTATATACACAGGGGACACATATAGTATATACACAGGGGACACATATAGTATATACACAGGGGACACATATAGTATATACACAGGGGGCACATATAGTATATACACAGGGGACACATATAGTATATACACAGGGGGTACATATAGTATATACACAGGGGACACATATAGTATATACACAGGGGGTACATATAGTATATACACAGGGGGCACATATAGTATATACACAGGGGGTACATATAGTATATACACACTGAACAAAAATATAAACGCAAAATGCAACAATTTCAAAGATTTTACTGAGTTACAGTTCATATCAGGAAATCAGTCAACTTAAATAAATCTATCAGGCCCTAATCGATGGATTTCACATGACTGGGAATACAGATATGCATCTGTTGGTCACAGATACCTTTAAACGTAAGGGTGTGACCACCTCCGGATCTCTTCACAGTATCTCTGTACATTCAAATTGCCATCGATAAAATGCAATTGTGTTCATTGTCCATAGCTTATGCCTGCCCATATCATAACCCCACCGCCACCATGGGGCACTCTGTTCACAACGTTGACATCAGCCTGCCATCTGCCCAGTACAGTTGAAACCAGGATTAATCCGTGAAGAGCACATTTCTCCAGCGTGCCAGTGGCCATTGAAGGTGAGCATTTGCCCACTGAAGTCAGTTACGACACCGAACTGCAGTCAGGTCAAGACCCTGGTGAGGATGACAAGCACACAGATGAGCTTCCCTGAGACGGTTTCTGACAGTGTGCAGAAACTCTTCGGTTGTCCAAACCCACAGATTAATCAGCTGTCTGGGTGGCTGGTCTCAGACGGTCCTGCAGGTGAAGAAGCCGGATGGGGAGGTCCTGGGCTGGCGTGATTACATGTGATCTGCGGTTGTGAGGCCGGTTGGACGTCCTGCCAAATTCTCTAAAACGACATTGGTCGAGAAATTAACATTCAATTCTCTGACAACAGCTCTGGTGGACATTCCTGCAGTAAGCATGCCAATTGCACGGTCCCTTAAAACGTGAGACATCTGTGGCATTGTGTTGTGTGACAAAACTGCAGTGGCCTTTTATTATCCCCAGCACAAGGTGCACCTGTGAAACGCTGTTTAATCAGCTTCTTGATATGCCACACCTGTCAGGTGGATGGATTATCTTGGCAAAGGAGAAATGCTCACTAACAGGGATGTAAACAAATGTGTGCACAAAATGTTAGAGAAATAAGCTTTTTGTATGTATTTCTGGGATCTTTTATTTCAGCTCCTGAAACATGGGACCAACACTTTACATGTTGCATTTATATTTTTATACTTTCTTATATTTCAGAAAGTATTCAGACCACTTGACTTTTTCCACATTTTGTTACGTTACAGCCTTATTCTAAAATGGATTGAATTGTTCAATCTACTCACAATACCCCATAATGGCAAAGCAAAAAAAGGTTTTTAGAAATGTTTGCTAATTTATTAAAAATAAAAACTGAAATATTAAATTTACGTAAGTATTCAGACCCTTTACTCAGTACTTTGTTGAAGCACCTTTGGCAGTGATTACAGCACTGAGTCTTCTTGGGTATGACGCTACAAGCTTGGCACACCTGTATGTGTAGGCCGTCATTGTAAATAAGAATTTGTTCTTAACTAACTTGCCTAGTTAAATAAAGATAAAAATAACAAATAAAATAAAAATGGGGAGTTTCTCCCATTCTTCTCTGCAGATCCTCTCATGCGCTGTCAGGTTGGACGAGGAGCATCGCTGCACAGCTATTTTCAGGTCTCTCCAGAGATGTTCAATCGGGTTTAAGTCCGGGCTCTGGCTGGGACACTCAAGGACATTTTGACATTTAGTGAGTGCATAATTTTTTTTTCTTCTTCATACTGGTCCCCCGTGGGAATCAAACCCACAACCCTGGTGTCGCAAGCACCATGCTCTACCAACTGAGCTACACGGGTCATAGACATGCAGAGACTTGTCCCGAAGCCACTCCTGCGTTGTCTTGGCTGTGTGCTTAAGGTGGATGGCCTGTTGGAAGTTGAACCTTCGCCCCAGTCTGAGGTCCTGAGCGCTCTGGAGCAGGTTTTCATCAAGGATCTCTCTGTACTTCTGCTATGAGTGAAGGAAAAAAATTGGTCTCAGCCAACAATTATTTGAATAATTCAATTGATATTTTGTGCACAAAGGTGATCACTAAAGTGTCTTATTAGGAATTTTCTCATCTGACTTCTCTATGTGGCCGTGTTTGGAAATGGTCTTTCTCGGCCGGGCGTCAGTTAAACTGCAGTACCGAAGCAGAACTGTAGGAGCAGTCGAAAATGTGCTTCTAGATCGGAACCACTAGCTGTTCACACGCGTATCTGCCCCCTCATTGGCTAGAATGATCCCACCTGATGCTGTATCTGCCCCCTCATTGGCTAGAATGATCCCACCTGATCTCGCCTCCTCCCGACTGCCTTCCATTTTTGAAGACGTTTCTTTTAATTGTTAGTGGCCGCTTGAGTACCTGGTAAATATAATGGATCATCTGTGTTGTGCTAGCTAAACTTAACGATAACGAATAAACACAGTAGCATGCTGGCCATACTAAGACAACAGGTATTTCTAAATATCTGCCTATTATTGTAATCATTTATGTTTGTGTATTAGCGAGTAGCCAGCAATGATTGGTAGCCAGCTAGCTAGCTAACACATTAGCTGGCGTTAGCGGTTTCATTTCACAACAGAAAGGTCAGATGATGAATTCAGACAGAGCTAGCTACTGGTTTTGTAGGAAAATTAAGTAAGCCAGAATAGATCCAACACATGCCAGCCCGAAGTCTTTAGGCTTAGCTAAGCAATAAGTCAGTAGCAAGCTAGCTAAATGTCACGTCATGGTGGCTAGTTTAGTTAGCCAACAATATTGTGACAACATGCTAACAGCTAGCTTCCGCAAAGAAACAATTTGCCAGTCAAGTTGTTTTAAAATGTAACGAAAGTATTTGCTAGTTAATATGTGATCCACACAACGTGCTGGCAGTTGTTAGTAAACAGTTGGGCCTTAATAGTTAGCGTGCCAAACTGCTAGAAGCTAACTTTAGCTAGTTAGCTAGCCTAGCTTTTGAGGAAGTAACAGATATGGAGGTAAGCCAAATGAATGAACTGTCATTATCTGTGATCTCTGTATGAGCTAGTGGCCACTTAGTGCTTGTCCAGGGGTTCGTCAGTGCGCGTTTTTCCACAAGCACCCTGGACCAGAGCTAGTGGCCACTACATTCCCCAGAAGTACTGATGAAGTAGCAATGAATTTGATTTGAACTAGCTACATCTCTCTTTGTCTCTCTCCACAGGCCTAGTAGAAACACCATGGAAGAGTCAGGAGGCAGGCCACGCTACCCTAAGCAGGGAGGCCGGGAGAGGGGCGCGGTGGCAAACGAGGCAGAGGCCTGGAGGAACCAGGACGCTGGGAGGGGATACAGCCCCAAGCCAGAGAGGAGTGGCCAGGGGAAGAGGGGACGCCCCAAGAAGGGAGTGATGGGACCCCTCAGCAGCTCCCCTGGAGGGGGGGTGTTCAAGGGGGGCCAAAGCCCCTCTCAGAGGGAGGGTTTCCAGAGACCCAGGTACAAAATACACTTATTCCTAAGACTGAACAGTTAACATTTCCCAATAGGAAAAACATGTCACACTAAGTTGCCATGCTAAAACTTTGCAGGTACCCGGAGAGCCAGCAGGTGGAGGGCCTGGTCGAGGGCAGGGAGGAGAACTGGAGAGAGCGCCCCTCACAGCGCTGGAGGAGAACGTCTCAGGGAGAGGACCCAGGGGAGGACAGGGAGCAGGGACGGAGAGACAACACTGACAACACACCTCACAGCTCAGGTAGAACCAAACAAAGACCTGGGTTATCTTCAGTAGGCATGGGGTGGTGTTACCTATAGGTTATTTGCATGGGGTGCGTTCCACATTGCAGCCGATTTTAAAGGCGTGTCGAGACTGACTGATTGACAAGTCATCTTGCATCATAAATAACTACTTAATATTAGTTGTAGATCAGTCATTCACAATTTACCCACAATTTACATGGCTGTGGAGTCAGGAAGGTGTGTGAATGACTATGGGTAACGTAGCTTGGTTTCTCCAGGGGGGAGGAACTGTAGGTACCGTGACCGGAGGCGGGGTCTAGGTGAGGAGGACCGTGGGCCGGTGGTGGATGAGTCATCTCTGTCAGCCAAAGAGCTGCTGGGACTGAAACAGGCAGAGGAGAAGATCGGCAGAGAGGAGATCTTTCGTCTGAAGAAGGTGAGGCGTCCATCAGGAGGGGAGTACCGTGTCACTCCACTCCCATCCTTCAGTATTCCCAACGTCATACATTTTGTTCTGGACCCGCACGCGCACAACTGATTCAACTAATCAGAGGCTAAACTTACTTCCTGAGTCCTCTACGGACACTGTGAGCGCGTTCCTCTGGCCAGGCGTTGCCGACTCATGCCAGATCTTACGATGCCTGCATAGTTATTTTACGTATCAGCTGACCCCGTCACATGTTATAGCCGTCTGGTGCCTGGCGGCGCAGTCGATGCATTGGTTGATGCAGGGGAACGCGACCAATGGCACGTCTCTCTCTCTTCTCCCTGTCTCAGAGGTCCCGCAGTAAACCCAGTGCTGTCTACACCTGCTCTCTGTGTGAGGTACTTCTGGACTCTGTCTCTGAAGCTCACAGACACGTCAAAGACAAGTGGCACAAGAGGAGAGCGAAGGTGAGAACACCTACTAATTACTACTCACCTTCTATCTTCCAAAACAATGATTACAGACACGATATGTATTTATTATTATATGACCCCTATGTGTCTCTGTGTTTAGGAGCGTCGTGAGGAGGCGGTGCTGACGGATCTCGCGCCCCCTGGGGTGGAGCAGGTGGTGGCGGTGAGCGTGGCGTTGGAAGGCGTGGTCAGAGAGAGGGGGATGAGTGACCAGGATGTAGAGAACAGACGACAGATTGTCTCCAACATGCAGGAAGTCCTGATGTCTGTCCTGCCTGGTGAGAGAACGCTGTGTGTGTGACTAGAAGTCCTAACGTCCGTCCTGCCTGGTGAGAGAACGCTGTGTGTGTGACTAGAAGTCCTAACGTCCGTCCTGCCTGGTGACAGAACGGCCGGAGTAGACTAGCGGGGTAGACGAGTCCAGCCGTACATACTGTTGGTTGGTTTTGCTCCTAGCAGAACTCCCTAAAGACCTTAGCTTGAAAAACAATATTACGGGTTGTCCCTCTTGAGCCACCGTAGCAACAACATAGCCAGTAACACTTCCTCAAAATAGTCTGAATTAATCTAAGATAAATCTGCCGAGAAGGGCTTAGTCGTGCGATTTTCCATCTAACTAAGATGTTTGGTGAGAGTACTTCTAAACATGTGCGTGAAAACTAGTAGTGTGCCTCTCAGTAGGGCCCAGCTGATGCTGCCCTCTCTCCTCTCAGTAGGGCCCAGCTGATGCTGCCCTCTCTCCTCTCAGTAGGGCCCAGCTGATGCTGCCCTCTCTCCTCTCAGTAGGGCCCAGCTGATGCTGCCTCTCTCCTCTCAGTAGGCCCCAGCTGATGCTGCCCTCTCTCCTCTCAGTAGGGCCCAGCTGATGCTGCCCTCTCTCCTCTCTCAGTAGGGCCCATGATGCGCCCTCTCTCCTCTAAGTAGGGCCCCAGTGATCGCTCACTTACTCCCTCAGTAGGGGCCCAGCTGATGCTGCCCTCTCCTCTCAGTAAGGGCCCAGCTGAAAACTCTCCCTCTTTCCTTCAGTAAGGGCCAGCTGTATGCTTGCCCTTTCTCTTCAGTAGGGCCCAGTGATGCTGCCCTCTTAACTCTCAGTAGGGCCCAGCTGTGATAGCCCTCTCTCCTCTCAGTAGGGGACCCAGCTGATGTGCCCTCTCCTTAACAGTGGGCCCAGCTGATGCTGCCCTCTCTCCTCTCGACAGGGCCCGCTGATGCTGCCTCTACTCCATCCAGTAGGGCCCGATGATGCTGCCCTTCTACCTGACTAGGGCCCAGTGGATGCTATGCCCTACTCTCTAGTAGGTGCCCAGCTGATGCTGCCCTCTTCCTCTCAGTAGGGCCCAGTGATGCTGCCCTTCTCCTCTCAGTAGGGCCCAGCTGATGCTTCCACTCGTCCTATCCAGTAGGGCCCAGTTGATGCCTGCCTCTCTCTCAGTAGGGGCCCAAGCTGATGCTGCCCTCTTCCTTCAGTAGGGCCCAGCTGATGCTGCCCTCTTCCTCTAAGTATGGGCCCAGCTGATGTGCCTCTCTCCTCTCAGTAGGCCCAGTGATGCTGCCCTCTCTCCTCTTCAGTAGGGCCCAGCTATGGCTGCCCTCTCCTCTTCGTATGGGCCCAGCTGATGCTGACCTATCTCCTTCAGTAGGGCCCAGCTGATGCTGCCCTCTCCTTCTCTATAGAGTCCCAGCTGATGCTGCCTCTCTCCTCTCAGTAGGGCCCAGCTGATGCTGCCACTCTCTCCTCTCTCTCGTGTTGAATGACAGCAAACACTTCAATGAAGAATCCCATCCATAATTCCCACCTCCACTGTTGAAACATCACCAATGAAGGGGCGTGAAGGTTACCGAACTTCGACTTGCCTCAAGAAAAGAAGTGCTTGAAACAGCCGGAACACCAAAACAAACAAACATCTCACAAAAGGTTGTCATAATATGAACTGGCTTAATACAGTATATGAACTGTTTGGACAGGTTTTACTTCCTGTCTTCAGGCTGATGGCTGGGTTGATAAAGGCTGGACCAACCATGCTGGGTGGGTTGATAAAGGCTGGACCAACCATGCTGGGTGGGGATGATGGCTGGGTTGATAATGACTGGACCAACCATGCTGGGTGGGGATGATGGCTGGGTTGATAATGACTGTACCAACCATGCTGGGTGGGTTGATAAAGATTGGACCAACCATGCTGGGTAGGGATGATGGCTGGGTTGATAACGACTGGACCGACCATGCTGGGTGGGTTGATAAAGATTGGACCAACCATGCTGGGTAGGGATGATGGCTGGGTTGATAACGACTGGACCGACCATGCTGGGTGGGTTGATAAAGATTGGACCAACCATGCAGGGTGGGTGGATAAAGACTGGACCAACCATGCTGGGTGTGTTGATAAAGACTGGACCAACCATGCTGGGTGGGTTGATAAAGACTGGACCAACCATGCTGGGTGGGTTGATAAAGACCGGGTCCTTGTTTCTGAGGGACTGCCCCCGCATGCTGGACTAGTAAAGTTTCCCTTCTTCTTGTTTCAGAGGTGAAACTCCGGCTCTATGGGTCGTCCTGCACCAAGTTTGGTTTTAAGGATTCTGACGTCAACATTGATATCCAGTTCCCCCCTCATGTGAGTAGCGTGTGTTTACATCTCATCCTATTTCTTTAATTAGCAGTTCTCCTGTTCTTCAGTGTTGTACTGTCACATGTCTTCCTCTGTGTTGTATCTATACTGAACAAAAATGTAAATCTGCGCGGCAGTCCGACGGGAGCTGGTTGTGGGTGTGACTAAATAAAAGCAGGGCGTTCTACCTGACAATTGTAGAACTTGGATACCGTCTCGTTGGCCTAACGTTATGTCCTAATCTGACTTTGGTGCAGGTCATGTTGTTCTTCACATTACCGTCTCTGGTAAACACTCACTATATTATTACTACATAAAATAAAATCTAAGTTTATTTGTCACATGCACAGGATACAGAAGGTGTAAACCGCTCCAACTCAACTCTGGACCTCCAAGCCAGTTCCACTGCATTTTTTCATTGTTCTCTATTCAGGGACTGATTTTAGACCTGGGACACCAGGTGGGAGCAATTCATTATCAGGTAGAACAGAAAACCAGCAGGCTCCGGACCTCGTAGGGTAAGAGTTGAGTACCCCTGGTGTAAACGGTACAGTGAAATGGTTACTTGCATAGTGGAGTCTTTTGTTTAGACGTGTAGCTAGCTAGCTAAACAATGAACCATAATCCCAACTCATAACGTTACTACTATGCATGAATCTGCAGGTAGCTAAAGCTAACCAACTAGGTTCAATGTTAGCTAACTGAAGAATTTCTGCACAAACTGTCAGAAACCGTTTCAGGGAAGCTCATCTGCGTGCTCGTCGTCCTCACCAGGGTCTTGACCCGACTGCAGTTCGGTGTCATAACCGACTTCAGCAAACGCTCACCTTCAATGGCCACTGGCACGCTGGAGAAGTGTGCTCTTCACAGATTAATCCCGGTTTCAACTGTACCGGTCAGATGGCGTCGTGTGGGCGAGCGGTTTATTGATGTCAACGTTGTGAATAGAGTGCCCCATGGTGGCGGTGGGGTTATGGTATGGGCAGGTATAAGCTATGGACAACGAACACCATTGCATTTTATCTATGGCAATTTGAAAGCACAGAGATACAGTGACGAGATCCTGAGGCCCATTGTCGTGCCATTCATCTGCTGCCATCACCTCATGTTTCAGCATGATAATGCACGGCCCCATGTCGCAAGGATCTGTACACAATTCCTGGAATCTGAAAATGTCCCAGTTCTTCCATGGCCTGCATACTCACCAGACGTGACCTATTGAGCATGTTTGGGATGCTCTGGATCGACGTGTACAACAGCTTGTTCCAGTTCCCGCCAATATCCAGCAACTTCGCACAGCCATTGAAGAGGAGTGGGACCACATTCAACAGGCCACAATCAACAGCCTGATCAACTCTATGCGAAGGAGATGTGTCGCGCTGCAAGAGGCAAATGATGGTCACACCAGATACTGACTGGTTTTCTGATCCACAACCCTACCTTTTTTATATATGGAACAACTTTTTTTTTTAAAGGTATCTGTGACCAACAGATGCATATCTGTATTCCCAGTCATGTGAAATCCAAAGATTAGGGCCTAATGAATTTCCTTATATGAACTCAGTAAAATCTTTGAAATTGATGGATGTTGCGTTTGTATTTTTGTTCAGTGTTTATACTTTAGGAGTTTTGAAATGTGCCTGTATTCACAGATGCATCAACCAGAGGTTCTGTTGCTGGTTCAGGAGAGTCTGTCTGTCAGTAGTGAGTACATTTTTACCTCTTGTGATGCTACGCTAGCTAGAAAAACCCCATAATAACCAATTATACTTTTAGCGTTAAACATTGTGATCGCCATCAATGGAGTGATCACTCTGAGATGTTGTTGATCGTTGTTTGTGATGACGACAATGATGGTGGTTGTGATGGTTGTTTGTGATAAAGAGGATGGTGTTTGTGGTGATGGTGGTTGTTTGTGATGGTGGTTGTGATGATGGTGATGGTGATGATGATGATGGTTGTTTCCAGTTCTCTATGGTAACCTGGAGGCAGACTTCCATGCCAGGGTACCTGTGGTCATCTGTAAAGACGAGGGCAGGTCAGTCCTTCATTAATCACATCCATTGTTAGTGAAACATTAGACTGTTCTTTCTAATGTGCTGCTATCTGACTATATGACAGTTGTATTGTTTAGCACTAATCTTCCTGAAAATAACCACATCTCCCTTTGACTGATGTGAAAATGTGGCTGATGGGCCCTGTAGTTTTTGGGTACAGGAAGAACCTGTCTGTTATTGTTGTTGTTGTTCCTCAAGCGGTCTGGTGTGTAAGGTGAGCGCAGGAAATGACAACGCTGTTGACCACCCTTCCTGTTGTCTCGCTTCTGGTGCTGGCTGAATGGGTGAGCGCAGATGCCGCTCAGGGGGAAGAGGTCCCGCCAAGGGGAAAGGGGCACCCCAGCCCTTCCGGGCCCGATAAAAACAACCAAACCAAAGGGGAAAAAACCCCCTTTTTAAGGAACCGGGGAAAAAACAACCTAACCGGGAAGGGGTTTAACCAGATTAAAGGGCCAGGGAAATCCTAAACATAAATCTTTTTTAGAAAAGGGATTTTTGCCGGGTATTTTTTAGGTGAATCCTTTCCCCCCCCAGATAAATTTTTGAGGCGTTGTTTGGTCCAAAGTCTTTCTTCAGAAAAAGGAGTCTCCTTTGGGCTAGTACTGAAAACCCCCTTTCCCCCCTTAAAAAATTTTCCCCCTCCCCTGTTGATTAGGTGACCCTAAATTTTTCTGTGGGTTTATAGCGGGTGTTGGTAATGTTTTTTTATAAAGGAGTTTTGGGGTTTTTGTTGTTTGTTGAGAGGTTTTTTGTATGGGGTTTTCCCCCCGTCTCAAGGAATTTTTACCCAACCCAGCCTTTGGGACGGTCAATTTTAAAACCGGGGGGGGGAGGTAAAACACACCTTTTTGGGGGGGAAACCAACCTGTTTGGGGGGGGGGTCTCCCCCCTTTGGGGGGGATAATAACCTTTTTGGGGGGGAAACTCCCGGGGGGAAAAAACACACCCCTTTGGGGGAGGAAAAGTGGGGGGGGGGGAGGGGTAAAACCGGGGGGGGGGTGGGGGGTTCCCCGTGGGGGGGGGGAGGTAACTCAGGGGGGAATACACCCTGGGGGGGAAAAATCCCCGGGGGGGAGGGCCCCCCCGGGGGGGTCTCCACCCTGGGGGGTGGGGGGTCAACCGGGGGGGGGGTAAACAACCCGGGGGGTTATAAATAACCGGGGGGGGGAAACTAACCCGTGGGGGGGGTTTTCTCAATGTGGGGTGGGGGGGGTTTCCTAAACCCTTTGGGGGGGGGGGAAACTACACCCTGGGGGGGGGGAAAAGGAAATCCCCCTGTGGGGGGGGGAGGAAAAACAAAAGTGGGGGGGGGGGGAGGAAAAACATGTTTTGGGGGGTCCCATGGGGGGGGGGAGGTCCCCCTTAAAAAACCCCCGTGGGGGTGGGGGGAGGTCTCCCCGGGGGGGGTGGGGGGTAACTCACCCTGTGGGGGAGGAAAATCACCTGTTTTGGGGGGGAGGAAACACCCGGGGGGGGGGGGGAACTAACCCCGGGGGGTGGGGAGGTTAAACACCTTTGGGGGGGGGGGGTAAACCCCCCCCGGGGGGTTGGGGGGGAGGGAAAACCTTGGGGGGGTTGGGGGGGGGGAACCACCTGGGGGGGGGGGAAAACCCACCCTTGGGGGAGGAAAACACACCTTGGGGGGAGGGGAGGAAAAACACCCTTGGGGGGAGGAAAAAACCCTTGGGGGGAGGGAAACACACCCTTGGGGGAGGGAAAAATAACCGGGGGGGAGGGGGAGAAACTAACCTGGGGGGGGGGGGAAAAATTCACCGGGGGGGGGGGGAGAAACTAACCCCCCGGGGGGGGGAGGAACAAAACCTTTGGGGGAAGGGGGAAACTCCCCCTGGGGGGGGGGAGGAAAACCCCCTTAAACAAACCCCCTGGGGGGAGGAAAACTAACCCCCGGGGGGGAAAACACAGTGGGGGGGAAAACTTAACCTGGGGGGGAAACAAAACCTTAAAACTACCGGGGGGGGGAAATAACCTTGGGGGGTGGGGAGGAAAAACTAACCCTGTGGGGGGGGGAGAACACACCCTGGGGGGAGGAACCCCGGGGGGGTTAAAAACTCCCTTTAGTAAATCCCCTTGGGGGGGGAAAAAACCCCTTGGGGGGGTAACTAACCCCTTTTTATAAAACCCTTGGGGGGGGATAACTCCCCTTTGGGGGGGAGTTTCATTGGGGGAGGGGAAAAACTCCCCTTAAAGGGGGGGTTTCTCCCTGGGGGAGGGGGTAACTCCCCTTTGGGTTGGGGGGGGGGTTAACCTTTTGGGGTTGGGGGAAGGAAAAACAACACCCTTTGGGGGGAGGGCTCCCCTGGGGGTTGGGGGGGGGGTAATAACCCTTTTTTAACAACCCTTGGGGGTGGGGGATTGTAAAAACCCCCTTTAAATTTCCCCGGGGGGGGAGGGGGGGGTTTCTACACCCTGTTTATTGGGGTAATACCCCCTTTTCCCCTTTGGGGGGGAGTTAAAAAATACCTTTGGGTTGGGGGAAAAACACCTTTTTGGGGGGGGGGTCTCCCGGGGGTTGGGGGGTAATACCCCCCTTTTTTTGGGGGGGGGGGGGGGGTAAAAAACCCCCCCTTTTTGGGGGGGGGGTCTCACCGGGGGGGGGGGGGGGGGGGAAACCATTTTGGGTTGGGGGGGGTAATACACCTGTGGGGGGGGGAGGTAACTCACCCTTTGGGTTGGGGGGGAACTAAACCCCCCTTGGGGGGGGGAGGTAACCACCCTGTGGGGGGGGGGAGGAAACACACCTGTGGGGGGGGGGGAGGTAACTACACCCCTGGGGGGGGGGGGTAACTACCCCCTGTGGGGGGGGGGGTAACTACACCGTGGGGGGGGGGAGGAAAACTACACCTGTGGGGGGGGGAGGTAACTACCCCCTAAAACCCCCTGTGGGGGGGGGGGGGGGAACTACCCCCCTTTGGGGGGGGGGAAGGCTACCCCTTTTGGGGGGGGGGGGGGTAACTACCCTTTTGGTTTTGGGGGATTTTAATACCCCCTTTTGGGTGGGGGGGGGTAACTAACCCTGTGGGTTTGGGGGGGGAAAAACACCCCCTGTGGGGGGGGGGGGGTTTCACCCTTTGGGGGGGGGGGAGGTAACTACACCCTTTGGGGTTGGGGGGGTAACTACACCCGGGGTGGGGGGGGGTAATACCCCCTTTTGGGTTGGGGGAGGAAAACTACCCCCTTTGGGGGGGGGAGGTAACTACCCCTGTGGGGGGGGGGGGTAACTACCCTTTTGGGGGGGGAGGTAACTACACCCTGTGGGTTGGGGGGAGGTAACTAACCCTGGGGGGGGGGGGGTAACTAACCCTGTGGGGGGGGGATTAACACACCCTGTTGGGGGGAAATCCCCCCTGTGGGGGGGGGGTAACTACCCCTGTGGGGGGGGGAGGAACTACCCCCTGTGGGGGGGGGGGGTAACTACACCCGTGGGGGGGGGGGGAAAACTACACCCTGTGGGGGGGGGGGGTAACTACACCTTGGGGGGGGAGGAACTACACCCTTGGGGGGGGGAGGTAATAACCCCCTTGGGGGGGGGAGGTAAAACCCTTGGGGTTTGGGGGGGGGGTTTAACTACACCCTGGGGGGGGGGAGGTAATCCCCCCTGGGGGAGGGGGGGAAACTACACCTTTTGGGTTTGGGGGGGGAGGTAACTAAAACCTTTGGGGGGGGGGGGTTTAACTACCCCTTTTGGGGGGGGAGGTAACTACCCCCTGTGGGTGGGGGGGTAATACACCCGGGGGGGGGGGAGGTCAAAACCCCTGGGGGGGGGGGGTAACTACCCCTTTTGGGGGGGGGAAAGGAAACTACCCCTTTTGGGGGGGGGGGGGGGGGGAAAATACACCCTTTGGGGGGGGGGAGGTAACTACACCCTTGGGGGGGGGGAAACACCCCCTTGGGGGGGGGGAGGTAACTCACCTTTGGGTGGGGGGGTAACTAAACCCTGGGGGGGGGGGGGTAACTACCCCTTTGGGTTGGGGGGGAGGTAACACCCCTTTGGGGGGGGGGGGGGGAAAAACCCCCTTTGGGTGGGGGGGGGGGTAAACTCCCCCTTTGGGTTGGGGGGGGAAACTAACAAATTCGAATGTATTCAGAAAATTGACTTTTTCCAATTTTTTACTTTCCACCCTTTATTCTAAAATGGATTTTTTTTTTTTTTTTCCCTCAATCTACCAAAAACCCCCATAATGAAAAAGAAAAAAATTATTTTAAAAAATTTCTGTACTTTTAAAAAAATAAAAAAAGGGGAAATATACATTTAAAAAGATTAGAACTTTAATAGTATTTTTTGAAGAAACTTTGGCAGCGATTACACCCTCAGTCTTTTTGGGTATGACGCTACATTTGGCACACCTGTTTTTTGGGGATTTTCTCCCATTTTTCTTGCGACCCTTCGCCTGTCAGGTTGGATGGGGAGCGTCGCTGCACAGCTATTTTCAGGTCTCTCCAGAAATGTTCGATCGGGTTCAAGTCCGGGCTCTGGCTGGGCCACTCAAGGACATTCAGAGACTTGTCCCGAAGCCACTCCTGCGTTGTCTTGGCTGTGTGCTTAGGGACGTTGTCCTGTTGGAAGGTGAACCTTCGCCCAGTCTGAGGTCCTGAGCGCTCTGGAGCAGGTTTTTCATCAAGGATCTCTCTGTACTTTGCTCCGTTCATCTTTCCATCGATCCTGACTAGTCTCCCAGTCCCTGCCGCTGAAAACATCCCCACAGCATTTTTTATTTTATTTTATTTCACCTTTATTTAACCAGGTAAACCAGTTGAGAACAAGTTCTCATTTACAACTGCGACCTGGCCAAGATAAAGCAAAGCAGTGCGATAAAAACAACAACACAGAGTTACATATGGGGTAAAACAAAACAAAGTCAAAAATACAACAGAAATAAATATATATACAGTGTGTGCAAATGTAGCAAGTTATGGAGGTAAGGCAATAAATAGGCTATAGTGCAAATAATTACAATTAGTATTAACACTGGAATGATAGATGTGCAAGAGATGATGTGCAAATAGAGATACTGGGGTACAAAAGAGCAAAATAAATAACAATATAGGGATGAGGTAGTTGGGTGGGCTAATTACAGATGGGCTGTGTACAGGTGCAGTGATCGGTAAGCTGCTCTGACAACTGATGCTTAAAGTTAGTGAGGGAGATAAGAGTCTCCAGCTTCAGAGAGTTTTGTAGTTCGTTCCAGTCATTGGCAGCAGAGAACTGGAAGGAATGGCGGCCAAAGGAGGTGTTGGCTTTGGGGATGACCAGTGAGATATACCTGCTGGAGCGCAGACTACGGGTGGGTGTTGCTATGGTGACCAATGAGCTAAGATAAGACAGGGATTTGCCTAGCAGTGATTTATAGATGGCCTGGAGCCAGTGGGTTTGGCGACGAATATGTAGTGAGGACCAGCCAACAAGAGCGTACAGGTCACAGTGGTGGGTAGTGCATGGGGCTTTGGAGACAAAACGGATGGCACTGTGATAGACTACATCCAATTTGCTGAGTAGATTGTTGGAGGCTATTTTGTAAATGACATCGCCGAAGTCAAGGATCGGTAGGATAGTCAGTTTTACGAGGGCATGTTTGGCAGCATGAGTGAAGGAGGCTTTGTTGCGAAATGGGAAGCCGATTCTAGATTTAACTTTGGATTGGAGATTCTTAATGTGAGTCTGGAAGGAGAGTTTACAGTCTAACCAGACACCTAGGTATTTGTAGTTGTCCACATACTCTAGGTCAGACCCGTCGAGTAGTGATTCTAGTCGGGTGGGCGGGTGCCAGCAGCGTTCGATTGAAGAGCATGCATTTAGTTTTACTAGTGTTTAAGAGCAGTTGGAGGCTACTGAAGGAGTGTTGTATGGCATTGAAGCTCGTTTGGAGGTTTGTTAACACAGTGTCCAATGAAGGGCCAGATGTATACAAAATGGTGTCGTCTGCGTAGAGGTGGATCTGAGAGTCACCAGCAGCAAGAGCGACGTCATTGATATACACAGAGAAAAGAGTCGGCCCAAGAATTGAACCCTGTGGCACCCCCATAGAGACTGCCATAGGTCCAGACAACAGGCCCTCCGATTTGACACATTGAACTCTATCTGAGAAGTAGTTGGTGAACCAGGCGAGGCAGTCATTTGAGAAACCAAGGCTATTTAGTCTGCCAATAAGAATGCGGTGGTTGACAGAGTCGAAAGCCTTGGCCAGGTCAATGAAAACGGCTGCACAGTACTGTCTATTATCGATCGCGGTTATAATATTGTTTAGGACCTTGAGCGTGGCTGAAGTGCACCCATGACCAGCTCGGAAACCGGATTGCATAGCGGAGAAGGTTACGGTGGGATTCGAAATGGTCGGTGATCTGTTTTGTTAACTTGGCTTTCAAAAACTTTTGAAAGGCAGGGCAGGATGGATATGGGTCTGTAACAGTTTGGATCTAGAGTGTCACCCCCTTTGAAGAGGGGGATGACCGCGGCAGCTTTCCAATCTCTGGGGATCTCAGACGTTACGAAAGAGAGGTTGAACAGGCAAGTAATAGGGGCTGCCACTACCATGCTTCACCATAGGGATGGTGCCAGGTTTCCGCCAGACGTGACACTTGGCATTCAGTAAAATCTTGGTTTCATTAGACCAGAGAATCTTGTTTCTCATGGTCAGAGTCCTTTTAGGTGCCTTTTCGCAAACTCCAAGCGAGCTGTCATGTGCCTTTTACTGAGGAGTGGCTTCCGTCTGGCCACGCTACCATAAAGGCCTGATTGGTGGAATGCTGCAGAGATGGTTGTCCTTCTGGAAGGTTCTCCCATCTCCACAGAGGAATTCTGGAGCTCTGTCAGAGTGACCATTGGGTTCTTGGTCACCTCCCTGACCAAGGCCCTTCTCCCCCGATTGCCACTGTGTTCTGTGGGGTGGGCGAGGCCACCGCACCCTGTGGGTGCTCAACATTGTCAGTGATTGTGTTTCTCTCTCTCTCTCTCCAGGCTCCTCTGGTGTTCCAGAGACCTGTCTCTCCTCCAGCGGTGGGTCTTCTGTGGGTGGAGATGCTGCGTTTTTATTCGCTGGAGTTCAACATGGCGGAGTGTGTCATCAGCGTGCGTACCAGCCTCGTCCTATCACGGGAGGCCAAGGACTGGCCCAAGAAACGCATTGCCGTGGAGGGTATTGTTGCCTTCAGTCTCCTACATGTTTTAGTAGCTATTTTCTAGTTGGAGCCGGATAACCTGTGGTGGTTGAACCCAGCCCAGTGTAGTTAACCGGAATTAAGGTCTCCAATTGTTCACTTTGAATGCTAAACCTGTGTAAGCTGTTTCCAGGTAGACTTTGTGAATGGGGAACAGTTGTTTAGCAAATCATGACACAGATACACAAGTTATGATTTTGAGATGAGTTTATGATCTAATGAAGTCGTGTGTTTTTAGATCCGTTTGCTGTGAAGAGGAACGTGGCTCGTACGTTGAACAGCCAACAGATGTACGAGTACATCCTCCACTGCCTCAAATCTACCTACAAGTACTTCGCCCTGCCCCTCAGGCTCCCCTCAGCCAACCACACGACAGCAGAGCCGCGAGGAGCCAATCACAAGCCAGGGCCTGGACATAAGGCTCCGAGTGACGTTGGCCTTGTTCAATCAGGGTTGAGTGGTCTCATCCTGGAATCCCAGGCAACCACTAAGCAGAAAGGAGAGGCAGATGTGCAGGATTCTGACTGTATGGAGGAAGAGGAGGAGAGCCCTCCAGAGTCCGACCAAGAGAAAGAAGAGGAAGACTTGGGGAAGAACAGCCTGTCTGAAGAGGGAGGATGGAGTATATCCCAGACATCACCTAGACAGTGTGACCACAGAGGACGAAGAGCTGTTCCCATTGGACGAGGTCTCAGGAGAGGAGCAACTCTCCGATGAGGAGGGGCCAGACCTAGACACTCCCGGCTCATTGGATGAGGAGGATGAGGTAGCCCCACCCACAGTACCAGAGGACCCGCCCAAGCAGGAAGCACCAGACAACAGGACCGAGGGGGCCAGTGTTCTCTGCTATGGGTTCACCAGACAGGCGTTCACCCGCGGCAGGGTAGATATGACCACGTGATCACACATTTTCTTTCAAAGTTCTTGCAAACAAAGTCTAAAACTGTTATGATTTGCTAACCTTGTGTCTGTGTGTGGTTCAGTCCCACACAGTGGTGTGCGGTGTGTGTAAGCGTGACGGCCATCTAAAGAAGGACTGCCCTGAGGACTTCCAGAGGGTACAGCTAGCCCCTCTCCCTCCCATGACGCCCGCCTTCCTCAAAACACTCAACGCCGTCTGCCAACAGTGCTACCGTAAGTCTGCCTGTGTGTGCGCGTGTTACCTGTTCTTCAAATGATCTGTACATTCTGTACAGGATGTACCGTTCCACGTCGTTACTTTAAAATATATTTAATTTAATATTTCCCGGGAATTGACTGTTTATTTGATTGAATTTCCCAGGAGACTTTGCTCTAGATGAGGTGGAGGTGGGAGTGAGAGAACACATCCTACTGGACCTGGAGAGCTTCGTCAAACGCCAGTTCACTGGTGAGACGCCATGACACACCTGATACTCTGGGGAAATAATGTTCACCTCTAAAAGTTGTTGTCTAAAGGAAGATTGGAGGAGAGATGTCCACTCTCCATGTGGTAGCAGATATGTAGTTGTTATTTCTTGTGACTGACAGGTTCCGTACTTTAACTGTTTGGTTGACTGGTTGCTTGATTGTTGAAGGTTCCCCTTTTAAATGTTTTGGGTTACTGGGTTTTCTTAGCAGGTTTCGACAACTGTTTGGTTTGCTGGGCGGGGATTTACCCGCTTTAAAACCTTTTTGGTTTTTCTTTTATCGACATTCCCTATTTAAATTTTGGTGATTTTTTATAACACCCTTTTTTTTTTGATGGTTTTGAAAATTTATTTTAAATTTTTTTGAGGTCTTTTATGATTAAAACCTTCTTTTAATTTGGGACTTTTCTGAGAACACCAGGTAAGGGTTGGGCATCTAAAAAATGGTTTCTTCCAAATCCTTAATCTGTATTCCGGAGGGACACCCTTAAAAATTTTCTTTTTTCCCTTAAAGCTATTTTCCCCCCATCCAAAATGTCCCCAAACAACCCTATTTTAAAAAAATTTATTTTTCCCCCAGGGGTTTTAATCTGGGTTTTGGGCCCCCCCCGGTCAGGGGTTTGACACTACCCTTAAATGGGTTTTTTTTCTAGTCCCTTAAGCTGTATCCCCCCCCCCCCCCAGGTCGGCTAGAACTACCCCTTAAAAAGGTTATCTTTCTATCCCCTTTAAGGCCTGACTGCCCCCCCCCCCAGGGGCAGTTTTTTTCAACACTACCCTATAATAAGGGGACTTTTTCCCTTTAAAGCTGTTCTCCCCCCCCCCCCCCCCTTTTCCCTTAATGCTGTATCTCCCCCCCCCCCAGGTCAGAAATCCCATAATAAGGTAAAGTCCTTTTAAGTTTCTTACCCCCCCCGTCAAGGCTGGGGAAATACCCTTAAAATGGCTTTTGTCCCAAGCTGTTGCCCCCCCCCCCACCCCCGGTAGTGTTGAAATACCCTATTTAAAAAGGTTTTTTTGCCAAGGTATCGCCCCCCCCCCCCATCAAATTTAGCACCCCTAAAAAGGTTTCTTTACCCCAATGGGTGTCTGTCCCCCCCCCCTCAGTGTTGAATATTTTTTAAAGGGATCCCTTTTTTCCTTTTAACGTTCCCCCCCCCGGTCATTCTAACCTCCCAAAAAGGGACCACCCTTAAACTGTTTGGCCCCCCCCAGGTAGGTCTAAGGGAATACCCTAAAAGGGGGTTTTTTAATCCCTTTTCTTTCCCCCCCCGGGTGTTTGGGGAAAATCCTTAATAAGGTTTCTTTTTAGTTTAGCTGATCGGGCCCCCCCTCGGTTAAACTACCCCTTGGTTATTTTCTATCCCTTAAGTTATTCCCCCCCCGGGAGTTTCACCCCTTTAAAAAGGGGTTACTTTTTGTTTAATTTTTTTGCCCCCCCCGGGGTTATGCTGAAATCCTTAAAAAGGTTATCTTTGATTAATTTTTTACTCCCCCCCCCGGGTTAGAACTACCCTTTTGGTTTTTTTGTTAAGCTGATCTGGGTAGTTTTTCTGAAAATTCCCTTAATAAGGACTTTTTGTTTTAATGCTGACCCGGGTCGGTTAGAACCTACCTTGGTTTTTTTAGCCCTTTGTTGATTCTGCCCCCCCGGGGTTGAGGGCCCCCTTTAAATAAGTATCTTTTGTCCCGTGGGGGGTATCTGACCGGGGTTAGAAACCTTTAAAAAGGTGATTTTTAGTCCCTAAGGACTCCCCCCCCCCCCCTAGTTAGCCACCTTTAATGGTTATCTTTTTATCCCCTTTAAATTTTACGCCCCCCCCCCCGGGGTTAGATAATTGGGGGTTATTTTCTATCCCTTTAATGCTGATCTTGGGGGTTGTTAGCCCCACCCTTTTGGGGTTTTTTTGCCCCAACTGGGGATTGCCCCCCCGGGGTTAGAACTCCTTTGGTTTTTTTTGTTTAGCTGATTTTCCCCCCCCCGGTAGTTTAGCTCCCTTTTGGGGTTTAATTTTAGTCCCCCTTGTGATTGCCCCCCCCCCCGGGTTTAGGAAAATTAACCCCGAAATCCCCCGGTTTAAGTTAGCGGGGGCCCGGGGGGAATTACCCCCCACCCGGGTTAAACCAAATCTGGGAGTTGCTGCCTGGGTAGATACTGGGGGTAGAAGGTCTGCCGGTGAGGGAAAAGCCGATGGGAGATTTTGCCTGACGGGGTTTAGAAATTTAGGCTCTCCCCCCGGGGTATTAGGTGACTCCCCGGGGTTGTTTAGGTAACCCCCGGGGGTATTTACCGCCCGGGGTTTTAATTAATCTACCGGGGGTTGATACTACCCCCGGGGTTAGATTAGCTGACTCGGGGGTTAGATTAGCTGACTCTGGGGTTAGATTAGCTGACTCTGGGGTTAGATTAGCTGACTCTGGGGGTTTAAATTTCTGACCGGGGTTTTTATTAGTGACTGGGGTTTGATTTGTGACTCGGGGGGTTAGATTAGCTGACTCGGGGGTTAGATTAGCTGACTCGGGGGTTAGATTAGCTGACTCGGGGGTTAGATTAGCTGACTCGGGGGTTAGATTAGCTACCGGGGGTTTGATTAGGACTCGGGGGGTTAGATTAGCTACTCGGGGTTAGATTTGGACTTTGGGGGTTGATTTGCGACTCGGGGGTTAGATTGTGATCGGGGGGTTTGATTAGGACTCGGGGGTAGATTAGCTGATCGGGGGGGTAGATAGCTGGGGGGGTTAGATTAGCTGACCCGGGGGTTAGATTAGCTGACTCTTTTACTGGGATTGGGGTTAATTGTACTTGGGGGTTGATTACTTTGGGGGGGGGGGGGGTTTTTGATGGGGGAATTCATGGGGGTTTTGATTTTGGGGGGGGGTTAAATTGTGACTCTGGGGTTGTAATTTAGAAGGGGGGGCGGTTGGGGGGGATTGGTTTGGGGAAGCTATCTTAAAGCTGATTCGGGGGCTTTGTTAGCACTCTTGGCTACTTTTGAAATACTCGGGGGGGATTTTAAACCTTTTACTGGTCCGAAGACATGATAAATAGGGGGATGTGTAACTAGTGTTTTGTGGATTTTTTATGTACTTTAGTGGGGATTTTGTTTTTAGAAATTTGGTTTTTTGGGTTTTTTAAAGGGGGGAGCGGGAACCAGGGTTTTGGTGGATATGGAAGTTTTTCCCCCCATATTGGAAAACTAGTGAGTCTCAGCGGTAACCTGTGAGTCACTAGTGGGTAATGTGAGTCACTCGTGGATAAACCCGTGAGTACTCAGCTGGATAACCTGGAGTCAATAGCTGGGAAACCCGGAGTCATCAGTGGAAACCTGTGAGTCACTCAGCTGGATAACCCGTGAGATCAGGGTAACCGGGTCCTCAGCTGGTAAACCCAGTGAGTCATCAGCTGGATAAATAGGGCCTCAGTGGGTAAACCCGTGAGTATCAGCTATCCTAGTGAGCACTCAGCTGGATAATATGAGTCCCAGTGGTAACCAGTGATCATCACTGGGTAACCTAGTGAGTCCTAGGGATAACCCGGAGTACTCACTGGATAACCCCTGAGTCACTCAGCGGTAACAGGGGGCAAACCCGGGCCTGCTTGGCACACGTGAAAAAATATTTTGGGGTTTTTTTACAATGGTGTTTGTTCTTCACTGGTTGCCCATTTCTTGTGGCAACGGGCCACAAATCTAGCTGCTGTGATGGCACACTGCGGTATTCCACCTAACAGATATGGGAGTTTATCAACGTTTGATTTGTTTTCAAATTCTTTGTGGGTCTGTGTAATCTGAGGGAAATATGTGTCTCTAATATGGTCATACATTTGGCAGGAGGTTAGGAAGTGCAGCTCAGTTTCCTCCTCATTTTGTGGGCAGTGTGCACATAGCCTGTCTTCTCTTGAGAGCCAGGTCTGCCTATGGCAGCCTTTCTCAATAGCAAGGCTATGCTCACTGAGTCTGTACATAGTCAAAGCTTTCCTTAAGTTTGGGTCAGTCACAGTGGTCAGGTATTCTGCCACTGTGTACTCTCTGTTTAGGGCCAAATAGCATTCTAGTTTGCGCAGTTTTTTTGTTAATTACTTGACACATTGGAAATAATTATATATTTTTTCTCATGATTTGGTTGGGTCTACTTGTGTTGCTGTCCTGGGGCTCTGTGGGGTCTGTTTGTGTTTGTGAACAGAGCCCCAGGACCAGCTTGCTTAGGGGACTCTTCTCCAGGTTCATCTCTCTGTAGGTGATGGCTGTGTTATGGAAGGTTTGGGAATCGCTTCCTTTTAGGTGGTTATAGAATTTAACCCCGTTTCTCTCTCTCTCTCTCTCTCTCTCTCTCTCTCTCTCTCTCTCTCTCTCTCTCTCTCTCTCTCTCTCTCTCTCGCCCTCTCTCTCTCGCCCTCTCTCTCTCTCTCTAGCCTGAGCGCTGGCAGCAGAGGAACATGGAGTGTGTAGGGTCTCTGTGGCTGGGCCTGCTGCAGTTCTACACTGAGACCTTTGACTTCAGAGAACACGTCATCTCCATCAGACAGAGAGCAGCTCTTACCACCTTCAACAAGCAGTGGACCTCCAAGTACATCGTCATCGAAGGTCAGTACTTCATTTATTCCTATTGAACTCCTAGCACAGTTTTCTTGACAGTAAACATGGCACTTTTTGGAGGGGATTGAGTGGAGCGATGGTGATGGCCCACCACCGACTGACCTGGTTCAGCCCACCACCGACTGACCTGGTTCAGCCCACCACCGACTGACCTGGTTCAGCCCACCACCGACTGACCTGGTTCAGCCCACCACCGACTGACCTGGTTCCACTCATCATCAAGTTTGAGTGTTTAGCATTGCTGGGTTATAATGAAAGCCTGCACACCCTGCAGCACTCCAAGGCCAGGGAGGGTTGGGATCCAGTGATCTAGTTATCTGATCTAATGTTGTTGTTCTCTCCAGATCCTTTTGACCTGAACCATAACCTGGGAGCTGGCCTGTCCAGGAGAAGTAGGTGTCTGTCTGTCTGTCTCTGTCCAGGAGAAGTAGGTGTCTGTCTGTCTGTCTCTGTCCAGGAGAAGTAGGTGTCTGTCTGTCTCTGTCCAGGAGAAGTAGGTGTTGTCTGTCTGTCTGTCTGTCTGTCTCTGTCCAGGAGAAATAGGTGTCTGTCTGTCTGTCTGATAGCACACCGACCTCACAGCATCACATCTTCCTCTCAATAATCTCTCTCGCTCTCTCTCCTTCTCTCTCCCTCTCGGTCTCTCTCTCCTCTCTCTCTCCTTCTCTCCTTCTCTCTCCCTCTCGGTCTCTCTCTCCTTCTCTCGCTCTCTCTTTCATAGTGACCAACTTCATCATGAAGGCATTCATTAATGGTAGGAGAGTGTTTGGAACGCCAGTCAAGACCTACCCTCCTGAGTACACTAGTCAGATGGTTAGTATTCACTACCTACCCTCCTGAATACGCAGATGGTTAGTATTCAGGTAGCCTAGTTGTTGAGGGTTGGGCCAGTAACCGAAAGTTGCTGGTTCGAATCCCTGAGCCGACTAGGTGAAAAATCTTTCTGTGCCCTTGAGCAAGGCACTTAACCCTAATTGCTCCTGTAAGTTGCTCTGGATAAGAGCGTCTGCTAAATGACTAAAATGTAAATGTTGATGTATTCAATATTGTCTTGGAAGAAGTGCATTCAAAACAAGTGCACTCACAAATCAAATCTGTGGTTGTGTTTCTGTCAGGAGTATAATGGTAATGTGCTGTGGTTGAGTCTCTGTCCTGATCTCTAATAGGATTATACAGCACTCATGTATCGTTCTAATTTATAACAGTAATATGTGGTTTTGTGTTTGACCCTGAGGTTTATAACAGTAATATGTGGTTTTGTGTTTGACCCTGAGGTTTATAACAGTAATATGTGGTTTTGTGTTTGACCCTGAGGTTTATAACAGTAATATGTGGTTTTGTGTTTGACCCTGAGGTTTATAACAGTAATATGTGGTTTTGTGTTTGACCCTGAGGTTTATAACAGTAATATGTGGTTGTGTGTTTGACCCTGAGGTTTATAACAGTAATATGTGGTTTTGTGTTTGACCCTGAGGTTTATAACAGTAATATGTGGTTTTGTGTTTGACCCTGAGGTTTATAACAGTAATATGTGGTTTTGTGTTTGACCCTGAGGTTTATAACAGTAATATGTGGTTTTGTGTTTGACCCTGAGGTTTATAACAGTAATATGTGGTTTTGTGTTTGACCCTGAGGTTTATAACAGTAATATGTGGTTTTGTGTTTGACCCTGAGGTATATAACAGTAATATGTGGTTTTGTGTTTGACCCTGAGGTTTATAACAGTAATATGTGGTTGTGTGTTTGACCCTGAGGTTTATAACAGTAATATGTGGTTTTGTGTTTGACCCTGAGGTTTATAACAGTAATATGTGGTTTTGTGTTTGACCCTGAGGTTTATAACAGTAATATGTGGTTTTGTGTTTGACCCTGAGGTTTATAACAGTAATATGTGGTTTTGTGTTTGACCCTGAGGTTTATAACAGTAATATGTGGTTTTGTGTTTGACCCTGAGGTTTATAACAGTAATATGTGGTTTTGTGTTTGACCCTGAGGTTTATAACAGTAATATGTGGTTTTGTGTTTGACCCTGAGGTATATAACCAGTAATATGTGGTTTTGTGTTTGACCCTGAGGTTTATAACAGTAATATGTGGTTGTGTGTTTGACCCTGAGGTTTATAACAGTAATATGTGGTTTTGTGTTTGACCCTGAGGTTTATAACAGTAATATGTGGTTTTGTGTTTGACCCTGAGGTTTATAACAGTAATATGTGGTTTTGTGTTTGACCCTGAGGTTTATAACAGTAATATGTGGTTTTGTGTTTGACCCTGAGGTTTATAACAGTAATATGTGGTTGTGTGTTTGACCCTGAGGTTTATAACAGTAATATGTGGTTTTGTGTTTGACCCTGAGGTTTATAACAGTAATATGTGGTTTTGTGTTTGACCCTGAGGTTTATAACAGTAATATGTGGTTTTGTGTTTGACCCTGAGGTTTATAACAGTAATATGTGGTTTTGTGTTTGACCCTGAGGTTTATAACAGTAATATGTGGTTTTGTGTTTGACCCTGAGGTTTATAACAGTAATATGTGGTTTTGTGTTTGACCCGGAGGTTTATAACAGTAATATCTGGTTGTCCCTCTCAGGAGTTCTTCTTTGACCCGGAGGTGTTGACAGAAGGACAGCTGGCTCCAAACGACCGCTGCTGCAGGATATGTGGCAAGATCGGACACTTCATGAAAGACTGTCCCATGCGCAGGAAGTAAGGAGTGCCACTAGCCGTGTGGTGTGTGTGTGTGTGTTTTGACTTTGTGTGTGTCTGTGTGTGTGTGTTTTGACTTTGTGTGTGTGTGTCTCTCTGTGTGTGTGTGTGTGTGTCTCTCTGTGTGTGTGTGTGTGTCTGTGTGTGACATCCTCCTCTCTAGGTCTAGGCAGTGTCGTGAGCAGGAGGGAAGGAGGGACTGGGCGGCGTCTGAGGGGGGAAGGGAACGTCGTCAGGGCGACCGCTGGAGGCGACAGGAAGAGAAGCGATGCTGCTTCCTGTGTGGGAGCAACGCCCACATCAAGAAGGACTGCCCCCAGTACAGAGGTCCGGCAGGTCAGTACTGAGTCTGTCTGACTGACATTCTGTCCCTGGCTGGCTGGCTGGCTGTCTCTGGCTGGCTGTTTGTCTCTGGCTGGCTGGCTGTCTCTCTCTGGCTGGCTGGCTGTCTCTCTCTGGCTGGCTGGCTGTCTCTCTGGCTGGCTGGCTGTCTCTCTGGCTGGCTGGCTGGCTGGCTGTCTCTCTGGCTGGCTGGCTGTTTGTCTCTCTCTGGCTGACTGGCTGTCTCTCTCTGGCTGGCTGGCTGTCTCTCTCTGGCTGGCTGGCTGTCTCTGGTTGGCTGGCTGTCTCTCTCTGGCTGGCTGGCTGTCTCTGGTTGGCCGGCTGTCTCTCTCAGGCTGGCTGGCTGGCTGGCTGTCTCTCTCTCTCTGGCTGGCTGTCTGTCTCTCTCTGGCTGGCTGTCTCTCTCTGGCTGGTTGGCTGTCTCTCTCTGGCTGGCTGTCTCTGGCTGGCTGTTTGTCTCTGGCTGGCTGGCTGTCTCTCTCTCTCTGGCTGGCTGGCTGTCTCTGGCTGGCTGGCTGTCTCTCTCTGGCTGGCTGGCTGTCTCTCTGGCTGTCTCTCTGGCTGGCTGGCTGTCTCGCTGGCTGGCTGGCTGGCTGTCTCGCTGGCTGGCTGGCTGGCTGTCTCTCTGGCTGGCTGGCTGGCTGGCTGTTTGTCTCTCTCTGGCTGGCTGGCTGTCTCTCTCTGGCTGGCTGGCTGTCTCTCTCTGGCTGGCTGTCTCTGGTTGGCTGGCTGTCTCTCTCTGGCTGGCTGGCTGTCTCTGGTTGGCTGGCTGTCTCTCTCAGGCTGGCTGGCTGTCTCTCTCTGGCTGGCTGGCTGTCTCTCTCTGGCTGGCTGTCTGTCTCTCTCTGGCTGGCTGTCTCTGGCTGGCTGGCTGTCTCTCTCTGGCTGGTTGGCTGTCTCTCTCTGGCTGGCTGTCTGTCTCTCTCTGGCTCGCTGTCTCTGGCTGGCTGGCTGTCTGTCTCTGGCTGGCTGTCTGTTGTAGAAAGTGTTGTGGTGTTGATGTTTCTGTCTGATGCAGGTGCCAAAGCAGAAAACTCCTCTCCCTCTACGAGCCACATGAGGAATTTAAGAGAGAGAGAAAGACGGGTACGATGAATATTCACACAAACATTGACACACACACAAGCGCGCGCACTTGTTCTAACCCTCCTGTGTGTTCATTTGTCCAGGGCTCCCCTCAACAGGAGAAAAAGAAGCAACAACAAAATGTGATTTGAGTCCACAAGCAGGTCAGTGGTTTTTATGTGTTTGTAGTTGAATATGTATGATTATAATTTCCTATTAGCTTTTCAAAACCAAGGTCAATGAGTATGTTTACATGCACACTAATAATTCGATATGAATCTGATTATGGCAGTAGGCAGGTTATGTAATAGTCATGGTAACACCTCCCTCTGCTGGTCATAATGGAAGGAAGAATACGCCGATTAAAACACCTGGTGTTCTGAGCCATCATTGGTAAACGCCAGAGTTCCAGCACTGTATTTCACATACAAACTTTATAACTCAGAATTAAATAGTTTTCACAAAAATAACATTTTGAGTGGCGATTTTCTGCATTTATCAAAGTCCCATCAGTAGCCTGATTTTCAGATGTGTCCATGTAAACAGGATTATTAGGGAAATCATTCTTCTTGCAAAGCATGTAAACGTTTTAATCGAACTATTATGTTCATCTGAATATTCACAATAATTGTGTTATTGTGTGCATGTAACCATATGTGGCGGAGTGCTGCCAGGAAAATAACCTCTCCCTCAACGTCAACAAAACGAAGGAGCTGATCGTGGACTTCAGGAAACAGCAGAGGGAGCACGCCCCTATCCACATTGACGGGACCGCAGTAGGGAGGGTGGAAAGCTTCAAGTTCCTCGGCGTACACATCACTGACAAACTGAAATGGTCCACCCACACAGACAGTGTGGTGAAGAAGGCGCATCAGTGCCTCTTCAACCTCCGGAGGCTAAAGATATTTGGCTAGGCCCTAAGACCCTCACAAACTTTTACAGATGCACCATTGAGAGCATCCTGTCGGGCTGTATCACCACCTTGTACGGCAGCCGATGTGAGCAAGACCTTTAAGCAGGTCAACATTCACAAGGCCGCGGGGCCAGATGGATTACCAGGACGTGTACTCAAAGCATGCGCGGACCAACTGGCAAGAGTCTTTACTGACATTTTCAACCTCTCCCTGACCGAGTCTGTAATACCTACATGTTTCAAGCAGACCACCATAGTCCCTGTGCCCAAGAATGCGAAGGTAACCTGCCTAAATGACTACCGACCCGTAGCACTCACGTCTGTAGCCATGAAGTGCTTTGAAAGGCTGGTCATGGCTCACATCAACAGCATAATCCCAGAAACCCTAGACCCACTCCAATTCGCATACCGCCCCAACAGATCCACAGATGATGCAATCTCAATCACACTCCACACTGCCCTTTCACACCTGGACAAGAGGAACACCTACGTGAGAATGCTGTTCATTAACTACAGCTCAGCGTTCAACACCATAGTGCCCTCAAAGCTCATTACTAAGCTAAGGATCCTGGGACTAAACACCTCCCTCTGCAACTGGATCCTGGACTTCCTGACGGGCCGCCCCCAGGTGGTAAGGGTAGGCAACAACACGTCTGCCACACTGATCCTCAAAACTGGGGCCCATCAGGGGTGCGTGCTCAGTCCCCTCCTGTACTCCCTGTTCACCCATGACTGCATGGCCAGGCACGACTCCAACACCATCATTAAGTTTGCTGACGACACAACAGTGGTAGGCCTGATCACCGACAACGATGAGACAGCCTATAGGGAGGAGGTCAGAGACCTGGCAGTGTGGTGCCAGGATAACAACCTCTCCCTCAACGTGATCAAGACAAAGGAGATGATTGTGGACTACAGGAAAAGGAGGACTGAGCACGCCCCCATTAACATCGACAGGGCTGTAGTGGAGCGGGTCGAGAGTTTCAAGTTCCTTGGTGTCCACATCACCAACAAACTATCATGGTCCAAACACACCAAGACAGTCGTGAAGAGGGCACGACAACACCTATTCCCCCTCAGGGGACTGAAAGGATTTGGCATGGGTCCCCAGATCCTCAAAAAGTTTGACAGCTGCATCATCGAGAGCATCCTGACCGGTTGCATCACCGCCTGGTATGGCAACTGCTCGGTATCCGACCGTAAGGCGCTACAGAGGGTAGTGCGTACGGCCCACTACATCACTGGGGCCATCCAGGACCTGTATACTAGACGGTGTCAGAGGAAAGCTCAAAAAATTGTCAGACTCCAGCCACCCTAGTCATAGACTGTTCTCTCTGCTATGGCAAGCGGTACCGGACCGCCAAGTCTAGAACCAAAAGGCTCCTTAACAGCTTCTACCCCCAAGCTATAAGACTGCTGAACAATTCATCAAATGGCCACCCGGACTATTTACATTGACCCCCCGCCCCTTTTGTTTTTACACTGCTGCTACCCGCTGTCTATTATCTATGTATAGTCACTTTACCCCTACCTACATGTACAAACTACCTCGACTAACCTGTGCCCCCGCACATTGACTCTGTACCGGTACCCCCTGTATATAGCCTCCCTACTGTTATTTCCCATTGACTCTGTACCGGTACCCCCTGTATATAGCCTCTGTACCGGTACCCCCTGTATATAGCCTCCCTACTGTTATTACACATTGACTCTGTACCGGTACCCCCTGTATATAGCCTCTGTACTGGTACCCCCTGTATATAGAATCTGTACCGGTACCCCCTGTATATAGCCTCTGTACCGGTACCCCCTGTATATAGCCTCTGTACTGGTACCCCCTGTATATAGCCTCTGTACCGGTACCCCCTGTATATAGCCTCTGTACTGGTACCCCCTGTATATAGCCTCTGTACCGGTACCCCCTGTATATAGACTCTCTACTGTTATTACACATTGACTCTGTACCGGTACCCCCTGTATATAGCCTCTGTACTGGTACCCCCTGTATATAGACTCTGTACCGGTACCCCCTGTATATAGCCTCTGTACCGGTACCCCCTGTATATAGCCTCTGTACCGGTACCCCCTGTATATAGCCTCTGTACCGGTACCCCCTGTATATAGCCTCTGTACCGGTACCCCCTGTATATAGCCTCTGTACTGGTACCCCCTGTATATAGCCTCTGTACTGGTACCCCCTGTATATAGCCTCGTTATTGTTATTTTGTTACTTTTTATTATTTTTAACTTTTTTCCCTCACTGTATGTATGTATGTATGTATATACAGTGAGGGAAAAAAGTATTTGATCCCCTGCTGATTTTGTACGTTTGCCCACTGACAAAGACATGATCAGTCTATAATTTTAATGGTAGGTTTATTTGAACAGTGAGAGACAGAATAACAACAACAAAATCCAGAAAAACGCATGTCAAAAATGTTATAAATGTATTTGCATTTTAATGAGGGAAACGCTCACTAACAGGGATGTAAACACATTTGTGGCCAAAATAACATTTTGATTTGATTTACTCAATGTTTCAGGACCTTACAGCAGCATTCCTCGATGGTCAGTGCATCTCTTCCTTGCTGTCTTCCATAATGCTGTCTTGCGTCCACCTGTGTTCCAGGCAGTCTAGCCAGCAGGCACATGGGTCGGTCTGATCCCAGTGGACCGAAGACCAGAGAGCGAGGAGGAGAGAGACGGAGGAGGCAGCGCTCAACCTCTGGGTTCTACTCTACTCCCTCTGAGCTCTGGACAAAACCTCCAGTCCACCAGCCTGAATCTAGAACACCCGAAACCTAGAACTTGGAACCGGAACACCCCAGCCTTCTGTTGGAACCCGGACCCTGGAACCTAGAACCCCAGGGCCTGAGCCCCAGACAGAGGATGTCTCCCAAATGGCACCCTATTCCCTATATAGTGCACTACATTTGACCAGGGTCTATAATGCAGTCTATAGGGATTAGGGTGCCGTTTGGGCTGCAGATAAACAGAGCGAGAGGGTATTTTATGTTTTAACCACCACTCCTAATGTCTGAGGAGCTTTTTAAAGTGTCATATTGTTTTAACTGAAAATACATGTTTTCTTCCTTCTCTCTGTTAGTTCACCCCCCCAACACCAGGGGGGGGGGTGTTTTATTTAGTTTTAATAATGGTGATTATTTGTTTAATTTTCTTGTGCACTGATGTCCTCCCAAACACCCCTCTCCTCCATTTTGGACAGTAGATCCAGTTCGAACCGGGCTGTGTGTGTGTATCTCTATACACTCGTACGTGCGCAGAGGATTTAAATCTGGATTTTAGAATTGGCCCTGAAACAAATGGGGACTATTGATTAATAATGGACAGCCCCTCCATGCCAGAACATCCAAAGATGGTAGCTAGCTAGAGCTCCATTCCACTCCGCTCCTTCCTGCCCCCTCTAAACACGCTGTGGATTTGTAATGATGTCATGGCAGTGACTCTATTTGGGCTCTGTATATGGCTCTGTATTTGGGTTACCAGTACCTAAATGGACCCCTAGCTTCCCAACTCCCATGTGTGTAGATCTGAGATGATTGGACAGGTGTAGTAATACAGTGAAACCTCAAGGTGGAGCTAGTTACCACCATATTTCTTATACACACCAAATCAATTATACTTATCGATCTACACTCTCGCATGATATGGGATCGGGCTGAGGGTTGATTTGGGGTTCTGCGTACATCAGTGCTGAAGGATTTTGGGGTGGGGTGGGAAAACGGGAAATATGCTTTAGTTTGTATGATGCATTTGGTGGCCAGTGCCTTTGATTGGTGGGACAGGTAGCTGTAATGTGAAGCCCTGCCCCCCTGCCCTGGGCTAATGTTTGCTGCTAGTATTCTGTCTGAGACCTGCTTATCAAATAAACGTTCATTTAATGTCCAGATTAATTTTTTTTGTCAGTACTTTTCTGTCATTAGTTTAGAAAATAAACCCTCACACTGGCTTTCTTTTGGAATTACTCAATTTTAGGTTGATTCACACATTTCTATGTAGGCTCCTCAAATTGTGTACTGGCAGCAGTCCTACTGAGATTATTATTCACTCGATTGTAGGGCCCCTGTAGCTCAGTTGGTAGAGCATGGCGCTTGCAACGCCAGGGTTGTGGGTTCGTTTCCCACGGGGGGCCAGTATGAAAAATGTGTGCACTCACTTAACTGTAAGTCGCTCTGGATAAGAGCGTCTGCTAAATGACTAAAATGTAATGTAACTACATACATAAAATGGGATACGTGTACTGCAATGTTGTGGTTTTAAAACTTTAAATGACCTTTGTAGCCAGCCAAATGACCTTATTTCTTTGTTGCGTTGCACAAGTTTTTGGAAGTGTCCTACAAGTGTCGTAACTGTACTTTGTCTATTGGCTGAACTGCCGGTCGACTAAGAAATCGCCCTATCGTGGATCTGCGCCTGCGTAGACCGGTGTTTTCACGTTAGCCAACGGGGCTACATTTAACGGTTAGACGGCTAAACATGTCTGCCTCCATGGTGGTTCGAGCGACCGTCAGAGCTGTTAGTAAAAGAAAGATATTAGCTACAAGAGCTGCGTTAACTCTGGTAAGTGTGTAGAAGTATTCGGCATCGCTATTTTCTCTTTAAACTGACGGTTTGTGTTATGACTGCTTGCTCCGAAGTGACAAAGTGAGCTAGCTAGCTAACGTTACACCAGGGGCCCTAGTAGTGGATACATTGCTGCCTGTAGTTTTAGATAATAATAATAATATGCCATTTAGCAGACGCTTTTATCCAAAGCATATGTTGTTTTCTGCTGACGCTCATTACGTGTTATGTATGCTCCTAATGCTTTTGAGAAACAGTGAGTGAGAAGTGTGTTAAATGTATTTAGCTAAGATAGCTAATATCGTTAACGTCATTGATTATGAATACACTAGCTTCAGCTAGCGAACTTGTAGTTACAGATATTGTTACACCAGATCATGTCATGTGATTTAACCAAAGATTTTTGGGAACGTTAACCATTACTGGTAGGCTGGACACATTACTTTTTAAACACTTTTCTGATTAAAATTAGTTAGTTGCATCCGCCATGGAGCCCATTTTTATAATATTACGCTATGACCCAGCTGCTCGCCGTAGTTTTAGTAATCGCGAAGAAGCAGGTCTTTATTTTAGGGCATTTTTCCACCCTGCCAGTTTCTGTTGGTTGTATTGAGCACCGTGTCACCGACTCGCCATCAAGAACCGTTTTATTCCCAGCCCGTTGTTCTGCGTCACAATGCCAGCTTCACTATAGTTATCAATGAGACCTGCCCGCATTAACCTCCTAGGCTTACTACCTCAGGTTACTTACTATAAACAAGGTTAAGGTTACTTACTGTTCGCCTGGGAACACGCTGTGGTGACCCACGGTGCCAGAGATGGCTGGCGCCTACCCATCAAAAGTTAAACATAAAATTAACACCTGCCAAATGTGGGTAGATTTTGGAATTGGCGGGTAAAAGGCGCTACATGGTCAATCCGTGTCTGCATTGGCCGTGCGGCATTTACGGTGATACTGACTCTGCAGAAGTCGCATTCATACTTCTTGCGAAACAGCGCCCCTCTGTCTCTATATGTGTAGGCCATCTATCTGATTCTGTCTGGTCATAAAGAGTATGACATTGTTGCCGCTGGAAGCTCTGAATGCAAGGGAAGCCAGCCAGCATTTGGCCTCCCTTGATATTTTTCCGGCCAAGGCAGCAGCTACTCTTCCTGGGGTTTATTATGGATCCCCATTAGTTCCTGTAAGGCATCCTACCCTGGGTTTATTATGGATCCCCATTATTCCGGCCAGGCAGAGCTACTCTTCCTGGGGTTTATTATGGATCCCCATTAGTTCCTGCCAAGGCAGCAGCTACTCTTCCTGGGGTTTATTATGGATCCCCATTAGTTCCTGTCAAGGCAGCAGCTACTCTTCCTGGGGTTTATTATGGATCCCCATTAGTTCCTGCCAAGGCAGCAGCTACTCTTCCTGGGGTTTATTATGGATCCCCATTAGTTCCTGCCAAGCAGCAGCTACTCTTCCTGGGGTTTATTATGGATCCCCATTGTTCCTTGCCAAGGCAGCAGCTACTCTTCCTGGGGTTTATTATGGATCCCCATTAGTTTCCTGCCAAGGCAGCAGCTACTCTTCCTGGGGTTTATTATGGATCCCCATTAGTTCCTGCCAAGGCAGCAGCTACTCTTCCTGGGGTTTATTATGGATCCCCATTAGTTCCTGCCAAAGGCAGCAGCTACTCTTCCTGGGGTTTATTATGGATCCCCATTAGTTCCTGCCAAGGCAGCAGCTACTCTTCCTGGGGTTTATTATGGATCCCCATTAGTTCCTGCCAAGGCAGCAGCTACTCTTCCTGGGGTTTATTATGGATCCCCATTAGTTCCTGCCAAGGCAGCAGCTACTCTTCCTGGGGTTTATTATGGATCCCCATTAGTTCCTGCCAAGGCAGCAGCTACTCTTCCTGGGGTTTATTATGGATCCCCATTAGTTCCTGCCAAGGCAGCAGCTACTCTTCCTGGGGTTTATTATGGATCCCCATTAGTTCCTGCCAAGGCAGCAGCTACTCTTCCTGGGGTTTATTATGGATCCCCATTAGTTCCTGCCAAAGCAGCAGCTACTCTTCCTGGGGTTTATTATGGATCCCCATTAGTTCCTGCCAAGGCAGCAGCTACTCTTCCTGGGGTTTATTATGGATCCCCATTAGTTCCTGCCAAGGCAGCAGCTACTCTTCCTGGGGTCCAAACACATTAAGGCACTTACATCACACACAAAACAAAAGATAAAACAGTACATCATATAACATTATTACACCACTACCTATCTACAATACAACATGTATAATACCACCATACAACAATATTACAATGTGCGTGTGTGTGCGCTACCGCGTGTGTCTGTACCTGTGTGTGTCACTTCACAGTCCCCTTTGTTCCGTAAGGTGTATTTTTATCTGTTTTTTAAAATCTGATTCTACTGCAGTTACCTGATGTGGAATAGAGATCCATGTAGTCATGGCTCTATGTACAGTCGTGGTCAAAAGTTTTGAGAATGACACAAGTATTGGTCTTCACAAAGTTGGCTGCTTCAGTGTTATGAGATATTTTTGTCAGATGTTACTATGGTATACTGAAGTATAATTACAAGCATTCCATAAGTGTCAAAGGCTTTTATCGACAATTACATTAAGTTTATGCAAAGAGTCAATATTTGCAGTGTTGACCCTTCTTTTTCAAGACCTCTGCAATCCGCCCTGGCATGCTGTCAATTAACTTCTGGGCCACATCCTGACTGATGGCAGCCCATTCTTGCATAATCAATGCTTGGAGTTTGTCCGAATTTGTGATTTTTGTTTGTCCACCCGCCTCTTGAGGATCGACCACAAGTTCTCAATGGGATTAAGGTCTGGGGAGTTTCCTGGCCATGCACCCAAAATGTCGATGTTTTGTTCCCCAAGCCACTTAGTTATCACTTTTGCCTTATGGCAAGGAGCTCCATCATGCTGGAAAAGGCATTGTTCGTCACCAAACTGTTCTTGGATGGTTGGGAGAAGTTGCTCTCGGAGGATGTGTTGGTACCATTCTTTATTCATGGCTGTGTTCTTAGGCAAAATTGTGAGTGAGCCCACTCCCTTGGCTGAGAAGCAACCCCACACATGAATGGTCTCAGGATACTTTACTGTTGGCATGACACAGGACTGATGGTAGCGCTCACCTTGTCTACTCCGGACAAGGTGTTTTCCGGATGCCCCAAACAATCGGAAAGGGGATTCATCAGAGAAAATGACTTTACCCCAGTCCTCAGCAGTCCAATCCCTGTACCTTTTGCAGAATATCAGTCTGTCCCTGATGTTTTTCCTGGAGAGAAGTGGCTTCTTTGCTGCCCTTCTTGACACCAGGCCATCCTCCAAAAGTCTTTGCCTCAATGTGCGTGCAGATGCACTCACACCTGCCTGCTGCCATTCCTGAGCAAGCTCTGCACTGGTGGTGCCCCGATCCCGCAGCTGAATCAACTTTAGGAGACGGTCCTGGCGCTTGCTGGACTTTCTTGGGCGCCCTGACGCCGCCTTCACAGCAATTTAACCTCTCTCCTTGAAATTCTTGATGATCCGATAAATGGTTGATTTAGGTGCAATCTTACTAGCAGCAATATCCTTCCCTGTGAAGCCCTTTTTGTGCAAAGCAATGATGATGGCATGTGTTTCCTTGCAGGTAACCATGGTTAACAGAGGAAGAACAATGATTTCAAGCACCACCCTCCTTTTAAAGCTTCCAGTCTGTTATTCTAACTCAATCAGCATGACAGAGTGATCTCCAGCCGTGTCCTCGTCAACACTCTCACCTGTGTTAATGAGAGAATCACTGACATGATGGCAGCTGGTCCTTTTGTGGCAGGGCTGAAATGCAGTGAAAATGTTTTTTTTTTGGATTAAGTTCATTTTCATGGCAAAGGAACTTTGCAATTCATCTGATCACTCTTCATGACATTCTGGAGTATATGCAAATTGCCATCAAAAACTGAGGCAGCAGACTTGGTGAAAATTAGTATTTGTGTCATTCTCAACTTTTGATCACGACTGTATGTGTACTTGCATGTCACTCCATGTGGTGTGTTTTCACAGACATTGCAATTCGTCATTACTCGTCTGCCAAAGTTCCCGCCTTCTCTCCCTCCATCCCTCTCTCTCTCTCTCTCCGCCTCCCATAGTCTAGACTTGGAGACTGTGAAGAGACCTCTGGTGGCATGTCTTGTGGGGTATGCATGGGTGTCCAAGCTGTGTGATAGTAGTTTAAACAGACATCTCGGGGCATTCAGCTTGTCAACACTTCTTACAATAACAATTAGTGATGAGGTCAATCTCTCCTTCACTTTGAGCCATGAGAGATTGACATGCATATTATTGTTAGCTCTCCGTGTACATTTAATGGCCACCCGAGCTGCCCTGTTCTGAGCCAATTGTAATTTTCTTAAGTCCCTCTTTGTGGAACCTGACCATACGACTGAACAGTAGTCCAGGTGCGACCAAACTAGGGCCTGTAGGACCTGCCCTGTTGATAGTGCTGTTAAGAAGGCAGAGCAGCGCTTTATTATGGACAGACTTCTCCCCATCTTTGCCACTGTTGTATCAATGTGTTTCGACCATGACAGTTTACAATCCAGGGTTACTCCAAGCAGTTTAATCACCTCAACTTGCTCAATTTCCTGATTATTCATTACAAGATTTAGTTGAGGTTTAGTGAATGATTTGTCCCAAATACAACGCCCAGCCACCCATTCTGAAACTAACTGCAGCTCTTTAATTGTTGCAGTCATTTCAGTCGCTGTAGTTGCTGACGTGTATAGTGTTGTCTTCCGCATACATAGACACACTGGCTTTACTCAAGCCAGTGGCATGTTGTTAGTGAAGATTGAAAAAAGTAAGGGGCCTAGGCAGCTGCCCTGGGGAATTCCTGATTCTACCTGGATTATATTGGAGAGGCTTCCATTAAAGAACACCCTCTGTGTTCTGTTAGACAGGTAACTCTTCATCCACATTATAGCAGGGGGTGTAAAGCCATAACGCATACGTTTTTCCAGCAGCATACTATGATCGATAATGTCAAAAGCCGCACTGAAGTCTGACAAAACAGCCCCACAATCTTTTTATCATCAATTTCCCTCAGCCAGTCATTTGTATCTGGTCACAATTTTTCCCAAAAGTTTACTAAGGGTTGGTAACAGGCTGATTGGTGGGCTATTTGAGCCAGTAAAGGGGGCTTTACTATTCTTAGGTAGGGGAATAACTTTTGCTTCCCTCCAGGCCTGAGGACACACACTTTCTTGTAAGATTGAAGATATGGCAAATAGGAGTGGCAATATCGTCCGCTATTATCCTCAGTAATTTTCCATCCAAGTTGTCAGACCCCGGTGGCTTGTCATTGTTGATAGACCACAATCATTTTTTACCTCTTCCACACTCACTTTACGTAATTCAAAATTACAATGCTTGTCTTTCATTATTTGGTCAGATATACTTGGATGTGTAGTGTCGGCCCTTTTTGCGGGGATGTCATGCCTAAGTTTGCTAATCTTGCCAATTAAAAAATCATCATCAAGTAGTTGGCAATATCAGTGGGTTTTGTGATAAATCTGATTCAATGAATAATGGAGCTGAGTTTGCCTTTTTGCCCAACATTTTATTTAATGTGCTCCAAAGCTTTTTGCTATCATTCTTTATATAATTTATTTGTTTCATAGTATAGTTTTTTCTTTTTATTCAGTTTAGTCACATGATTCTCAATTTGCATTATGTTACGAACCCCGTGGCTTTAAACATCTAGGGTGGATGGACAAGAGACCCGTAACATAATTCATGCAAATTAGAAGCGTGACATGGAACAGTGAGAACAAAAACTACACGACAACCATAAACTACCGTCAAACATAAAAGGTTTATTTTTGAACACACGGTAAAGGTTTGGGAAAAAGGGCTGAGCAGAACCCAAGAAATGAAACAATAGTGTAAAAAACCCCTAAACTGATCTTGCCTGCCTCAAGAACCGCTAAGCTACTGTTAATCATACAAAAATACAGTGGGTGGTCCGCTCAGGTCTAACTAGTGTTTTTAGACAGTTTTCTTCCTACGGGTAATGTACGCCCAAGGGCAACTTGCTTAAATTCCCCTTTTCCCAGAAACACACAAAGTTACCAAACAAAGTAATCAGCAAATGAGTGAGTACACAAAACACAGGACACCACAGTATCCATACTCACATACGGAAATAGTCTCTAACAACAAACACAACTGACCGGCTTTTAAACAATGGGATGTGTGATTGAAAAACAAGAAACAGGTGGTGCAATGCAGAGGAATGTCCACTGATTGGTCCACCTCAGCAATCAGCAGACACCCCAACGACCACCAATCAGGAACATACAGGACACCTGTGATTAGGGCAGAAGGAGAGGAAAAACACAAAAAGACACAGGATACCTGTATCCGTAACACAGTACATTTGCCAATCAGGGTTTTTGCCCCGGGAACCAAGATGTTTCTTACCATAGAACTGCCGATGGCGACAGCTGGTGCAATGGCTGAGGAGGTCCGGACGTTCTTTCGCCTCGAGTGGTTTCGCAAACCACTCGACGACCGAAGAGCGGTGGAGCCCGATGGACCCGAGCCAGCTGTAGTATCCATTGAGGATGATGAATGGGCCGTAGTCTCAGACATCCTCATGATCTGATGAGGGTGGGAGCTCTGAGGATCTGAACCTGAGGGAGACAGAACAGAAGACGAAGGAGCAGGTACCTCCGGATCTGATCTCGAATCGAAAGTCCCCAGGGAAGAAGGCGCTGGAACCTTTGGATCCAGGGCGACGAAGCTGTTTTTGGTCTGTGTCCGGTCCAGGCTTAACATCTCCAAGGTGGCCCCCGTTGCCAGAGGACGCTGTTTTCGACTTCCATGGCGAGTGACTTATCTCCATGGCTGGTTGGTATGCTCGAGAACAGGAACATCCACCAAGTCATCCAGGAGCATCCTACTTTTTCCATTCTCCAGGGAAGGGGGAGACCCCTTCGGGGAGGGATCCCTGCAGAGTACCGGCCAGTCGACTGTGGAGAGCCGACACGGTGGCGACACTTCCACCAGGCCAGAGTGGCGTCCGGCTACTGGGGTAGAAGAGAAAGAAAAGTAGACGGGCGTGGATTCCCTTGTGCTACTTGTTTGCTAAGAGTAGCCACTTCGCCCCTGTAGTCCTCTGCAAGCAAACCTTTGCTACGTTGAAATTCCGGGTCGGTCCACATTGTCCCGGAATAAAGCAAAAGTTAAACACAGGGCTGTTCCGGGGTATCCCCCCCCCCCCCCCCCCCCCCCCCCCCCCCAAAAAAAAAAAGCTTGGTACTGAAAAGCTTGGTTCTGGTGACTTTTTAAAAGGAAAAAACTCAAACCATTTAAAATATAAACAAATTGAAGACAGATGGCTACATTTATCTTGCTTGTACTTGATACAGTTCCAAACGAACATAGCTAGCTAACTTGCTAGACTAGTATCGTTCGTTAACCATGTTTCTATCATCAACATACTTGTGGATATTGGATAGCTAATTGCCGTTACAATTGTGGCAGCAATATTATAGATCTAAATGTTAGGGGAGTTTTGGGGTTATAGCTAGCTTATGTAGTTAACTAGTTGGCTAGCTAACGTTAGTCAAACAAGCTAACGTACCTTTCTTGCAATTTCTCACGCAGGAGCACTCTGAGGTGATTCAAGTGAATTGTGTTTCGTGCCTCAGAGCATCTGTATTGCACACTGGTCACTCACGCACTGGCGCACTGTGCCCATGAAAGGAAGTTAGGCTAGCGAGCAAGCTTTTTAGCCAGGTAGCCTAGGACAACAAAAAATAAAAACGTGCACTGTATGACAGTCATAAACCGTTTCGTCAACATGAAAGAGAGGAGGATGACATTGGCATTTCTCTACAAGTAGGGTGCATGTTTTTTCTACTTACACACAAATCAGAACCATGGACAGCCACATCATATTTAGCTTACGTTGATTGGACTAAATCGTTTTTGGTATATTTTAGTTGTCACTGTATTAGACTAAGCAGAGGTGATTTGATGATGTTGAAATGTTGAAATGGTGCTGGAATAGTGGAGGCAGCTCCTGTTTTCTTTGTGACTTGTGGTAACTCTCCGTGGTTCTAAATCAATAATTGTTTACTAGTCTGAAAATGTCAGAAACATTAACTTGCTTGACCATGCTGTAGGTCAGGGTTCTTCAATTCCGGTCCTGGAGGGCCGAAACACTTCTGTTTTTTATTTCTACCTGGTAGTTAATTGCACTCACCTGGTGTCCCAGGTCTGAATTAGCCCCTGATTAGAAGGAGAGGATGAAAAACAGAGGTGGTTCGGCCCTCCAGGACCGGAATTGAAGAACCCTGCTGTAGGTCATGTAACTGTTTGTTACATGCAATATGCTTTGTGGACTTCACCGGACAGAAGTTGCTCTCCGGTTTTGTGATGAACCAAAGGTGTGGTTGAATTAATTCTGCCACTGTGTCTTCTTATTGTCCCGGCCTTAGGCCTATATATCACGGTGTCAAGGCATATGAACTAACAGGTTATAGAGCAAACAATGCAATTATCACAACACAGGTTGTAATATGGCTTTTTCTTCTGGCTTGGCTTCCCCAGTGATTTTACCCACTCACTGCTTCTGTGAGCAGAGCTGTTTTCAAGGAAGTGAGTTTGTTTATACAGGACCTCCCGCCCCCACCTACCGCTAACCAATCATGTCAATACGGAGCTATATGGAGCCATCCGGATTGTTACAAAATTGGGGAGGCACACGGCTATGAGGTACGGATCTCAATTTGGCCTCTGCGTGCCTCCCTCCATACAGAGCCTCCGACCACCATTTTAGATCAAGCATAAATTGGCTTTAAGATGTCTGTTTCACCAGCCAAGTTGGCAGGTGGTCAGGGCTCCACAGTGCGAGCATTTCACTCACATTTGTAAATAAAAAGTTGAGTATGATCACATTTATAGTAAAATAAATGCGGCAGTAGCTCTTTTCAAAGTATTTCCGGCGTTTATTATATATATTATAATATATATATTATATTATAACCGTGATCGATAATAGACAGTACTGTGCAGCCGTCTTCATCGACCTGGCCAAGGCTTTCGACTCTTGTCAACCACCGCATTCTTATTGGCAGACTAAATAGCCTTGGTTTCTCAAATGACTGCCTCGCCTGGTTCACCAACTACTTCTCAGATAGAGTTCAATGTGTCAAATCGGAGGGCCTGTTGTCTGGACCTATGGCAGTCTCTATGGGGGTGCCACAGGGTTCAATTCTTGGGCCAACTCTTTTCTCTGTGTATATCAATGATGTCGCTCTTGCTGCTGGTGACTCTCAGATCCACCTCTACGCAGACGACACCATTTTGTATACATCTGGCCCTTCATTGGACACTGTGTTAACAAACCTCCAAACGAGCTTCAATGCCATACAACACTCCTTCCGTAGCCTCCAACTGCTCTTAAACACTAGTAAAATAAATGCATGCTCTTCAATCGAACGCTGCTGGCACCCGCCCACCCGACTAGAATCACTACTCTCGACGGGTCTGACCTAGAGTATGTGGACAACTACAAATACCTAGGTGTCTGGTTAGACTGTGAACTCTCCTTCTAGACTCACATTAAGCATCTCCAATCCAAAGTTAAATCTAGAATTGGCTTCCTATTTCGCAACAAAGCCTCCTTCACTCATGCTGCCAAACATGCCCTCGTAAAACTGACTATCCTACCGATCCTTGACTTCGGCGATGTCATTTACAAAATAGCCTCCAACACTCTGCTCAGCAAATTGGATGTAGTCTATCACAGTGCCATCCGTTTTGTCACCAAAGCCCCATATACTACCCACCACTGTGACCTGTACGCTCTTGTTGGCTGGCCCTCACTACATATTCGTCGCCAAATCCACTGGCTCCAGGTCATCTATAAATCACTGCTAGGCAAATCCCAGCCTTATCTTAGCTCATTGGTCACCATAGCAACACCCACCCGTAGTCTGCGCTCCAGCAGGTACAGTGGGGTAAAAAAGTATTTAATCAGCCACCAATTGTGCAAGTTCTCCCACTTAAAAAGATGAGAGAGGCCTGTAATTTTCATCATAGGTACACGTCAACTATGACAGACAAAATGAGAAAAAGAAATCCAGAAAATCACATTGTAGGATTTTTAATGAATTTATTTGCAAATGATGGTGGGAAATAAGTATTTGGTCACCTACAAACAAGCAAAATTTCTGGCTCTCACAGACCTGTAACTTCTTCTTTAAGAGGCTCCTCTGTCCTCCACTCGTTACCTGTATTAATGGCACCTGTTTGAACTTGTTATCAGTATAAAAGACACCTGTCCACAACCTCAAACAGTCACACTCCAAACTCCACTATGGCCAAGACCAAAGAGCTGTCAAAGGACACCAGAAACAACATTGTAGACCTGCACCAGGCTGGGAAGACTGAATCTGCAATAGGTAAGCAGCTTGGTTTGAAGAAATCAACTGTGGGAGCAATTATTAGGAAATGGAAGACATACAAGACCACTGATAATCTCCCTCGATCTGGGGCTCCACGCAAGATCTCACCCCTTGGGGTCAAAATGATCACAAGAACGGTGAGCAAAAATCCCAGAACCAAACAGGGGGACCTAGTGAATGACCTGCAGAGAGCTGGGACCAAAGTAACAAAGCCTACCATCAGTAACACACTACGCTGCCAGGGACTCAAATCCTGCGGTGCCAGACGTGTCCCCCTGCTTAAGCCAGTACATGTCCAGGCCCGTCTGAAGTTTGCTAGAGTGCATTTGGATGATCCAGAAGAGGATTGGGAGAATGTCATATGGTCAGATGAAACCAAAATAGAACTTTTTGGTAAAAACTCAACTTGTCGTGTTTGGAGGACAAAGAATGCTGAGTTGCATCCAAAGAACACCATACCTACTGTGAAGCATGGGGGTGGAAACATCATGCTTTGGGGCTGTTTTTCTGCAAAGGGACCAGGACGACTGATCCGTGTAAAGGAAAGAATGAATGGGGCCATGTATCGTGAGATTTTGAATGAAAACCTCCTTCCATCAGCAAGGGCATTGAAGATGAAACGTGGCTGGGTCTTTCAGCATGACAATGATCCCAAACACACCGCCCGGGCAACGAAGGAGTGGCTTCGTAAGAAGCATTTCAAGGTCCTGGAGTGGCCTAGCCAGTCTCCAGATCTCAACCCCATAGAAAGTCTTTGGAGGGAGTTGAAAGTCCGTGTTGCCCAGCGACAGCCCCAAAACATCACTGCTCTAGAGGAGATCTGCATGGAGGAATGGGCCAAAATACCAGCAACAGTGTGTGAAAACCTTGTGAAGACTTACAGAAAACGTTTGACCTGTGTCATTGCCAACAAAGGGTATATAACAAAGTATTGAGAAACTTTTGTTATTGACCAAATACTTATTTTCCACCATAATTTGCAAATAAATTCATTAAAAATCCTACAATGTGATTTTCTGGATTTTTTTTCCTCATTTTGTCTGTCATAGTTGACATGTACCTATGATGAAAATTACAGGCCACTCTCATCTTTTCAAGTGGGAGAACTTGCACAATTGGTGGCTGACTAAATATTTTTTTCCCCCACTGTATATCTCACTGGTCATCCCCAAAGCCAACACCTCCTTTGGCCGCCATTCCTTCCAGTTCTCTGCTGCCAATGACTGAAACGAATTGCAAAAATCTCTGAAGCTGGAGACTAGTTTTTTTGTGTTTTGTTGGTTTTAAGTTGAATAAAAATAAGTAATATTTTGGCTGGTATGAAATCTGAGTGGCTGGTAGATTTTTAAATCTACCTGCCTCAAATCAAACCAAATGTATTTATTAAGCCCATTTTACATCAGCAGATGTCACAAAGTGCTATACAGAA